GTGATAAACACATTCACCGATATCCAACAACTGATAAATCCAGTACCTGTAGGTACTCAATATTGCAGATTTAAATTGTAGGTTTTAAGATTTAACATCCTTTGCCGCTTATATTATATGATGATAAATTGTTGTAATGTTCTGTACTCGAAAGACGGCAATTCGACACTCTTATATCCAGAATAAAATCCACGTAGGCACCTTGTACCTACCTAGTATATTTTATAACCAATGATAAAACTTAGTAGCATGCATAAACAATTACATAAAAATATTGAAATGTAATTAACAAATACTGACATATTAGAGGTAGTTAGTTTTTAAATGTATATAATAACACAACTACATTTACATCTAAAATAACAAGTTAATAACATAAAATTCAATATTTACACGTAACACCGCAAGAATGGTGAAAAATTTGGTACATACATCTTTCATCATACACGAAAATGCACCGTCATTTCTTTTGAAAAGTAGATATAGTATATATAGTATATACTATATAGTATATAGTATAGGATATAGTAGATATATAAATTAATAAATTCAAACAATATTTTTATTTAATAAATTATGCATTTATTAGTAGGTAAGCAGTTACAAACAATAAAGAATTATCCATAAGTAAATTTTACCTTACAAAAATGAATTCATATTTATTATTATCTATAATATGTTAATGTTAATAATATTGTAAACAGCCGTCTAGCTCAATAGTTCATAGACAACAATATTAAAAATACATAATATATAATTACAGTAGCAGAATAGTTCATCGGTACAGCAAACAATATAATATTATAAAACTGTATTATAGTAGGACGATAATTGTATCTCGGTACGTACATCTGTTTTCAAGTGCACACTGCATATTATCTAATTTTTCTGAATGAGAATAACATCTCCGATGTTCGTTTTATGACGAGAGCAGACGTTTTTACGAGCGCACAACAAACATTCTAAGTGCCGCAGCGTTGGAACGCCAACTTTTATCCCATAGCCACAATTTGACCATCGGATGAAAACAAACGTGCCAACGCTGTGGCTAATTGACACTTAGAGTGTCTGGTGTACGCTCATAAAAACGGTTGCCCTCGGTGTATAATTTTTTTTTTGTTACAGGACCAGAAAAATTAAATTTTCTGCAGTACGCTCATGAAAACGGGTGTGTGCAGAATCAAATTACCGTTAACATAGCCGTCTAGCTCAATAGTTCATAGACAACAATCAAATGTACATAATATTGAATTACTGCAGCAGAAGGTTTATTCAGAGGTCCATCGGAGTAGATTGCACTCAAGATTTCCAGAGCGAGTGCGTTGCGGCGGCCCACGGGGCACGGTTTGGCGGCCATCTTGAATATGCTATTTGGCCCACATCCATCGATCGATACACGTCACGTGAACACTGCAAACAAATAAACAATTAACACGTTGTAATTGATAAAATACTTTAAACTATAATATTATTATATTGATAGAAAATTCCATCACGACGATGTCAGCACATTATTATTTTGTTCTCCGTCAGATCTCACGAGATAAAACGCTTACGCCGAAAATCGTTTTTATTCGGTTTTTGACGTTTCTAGGTTTTACAAGTATCGATTTTATATTTTAATATTATTTGACTTTATATTCGACACGAAATCGATACGACGTCATACCATCAAAAATATTATTCTCCATAACTTTAGTAACGGGTGATTTTCCTCATTAGAGATCTAATCTGCGATGCGCAGAGAAAACACAAACAGTTCGCTGACGTCCCTTAAGTACGAGAACACAATATATGATTACATTATTGAGACGGCGGTAAGATAATAAAGAAAAACAACGTATTTTCGACACACGGAAATGCATGCCAATATAAAAGACATACTTACTTGGTTTTGACTTTTGACCTATGATCCTGGCATTCCCGGAAACCACCCCGACCAAGGAAGTCGTGATACAACAATCGGTTGTAAGACAACTACCCCGGTCGGATCACAATGGCAGAATTAAAATCCAAAACAGTTAACGGCAGGAGATGGGCACTAGGCACCTTGGCGGAGGGAACCGCGAAGGCGAAATGAACGCGTTCAGAATGACGTGCGTGTGTGTGATGTGCCGGTGACGTCGGACAAATAATCGAGTCGTTTTTTTAGGTTATTTGTTGTTGTATATACCACGACCACGTTTGGTTTTACTAATATTGGTATATCAGGAATACTTGAACACAGGAGACCGTGAAACTCGTACGTATAAAAAAACAACCCGAAATGAGTCGCGCGATTGAACAGCCACAGGCTGCGCTGCATACGAATAGAGTCTCTACTTTGAGTTTTGACCAGCGATGTACATAATTTATTTTAATGCCCGCGATTCTGTGTTATCACCATGTACCACGAACTATGATAGTAATAATTGTTATCAAATAAATAACAACATAATAATATTATTATTTTTTCGATGCAGACTTTAAATTCGAATCACTCGCGAGTCTCGATTATTTGAAATTTGAACAAAAATAAAGACTACAGAACTACAGTCGTAGGTACAGTGCTCTATTCATACATTTTGTTACAAAATCACCATGGATATGTATTCTTTTTAGTAAAACATCCAATGTATCGCACGCCACATTACGTTAAATTGTAAGTATTATTTTCTAGTTGTACTGATTATATTTCTTAATAATGTGGAGTCAGTCTAATTTGCTAATTTGTTCACAAATATATTTAGATTTCCAAAACATCAATGAAATAAAAGGAAATAATGGCTACAGATGTTCGAATTATCCCGATTTCTACATGGCATAGAATCTGCGGTAATCATTTCTCAATTATTAGTGATTGTAAACAATGCTCAGTAAATTAGTAAATGTGGTGTAGTAATAATTATGAAACTTAAAGGTGAGAATATTTATTTATTTATTTATGAAACGGGACAAGCCCAATACAAATGTTGAAATTAATCTTAAAACTAAAGTATGTACAGTAAAAATATTTACTTGTTTAGTTCCCCAATAGAAACGAAGGATCCTCGTTCGCTAGTCGCATCATGCGTGACATAGGACAGTTTCGCAAATAATTTACAGAACAAAATTGAATATGGAATGGGAAAACACTACGAGAATTAAAAACTGGGATTCTAAAATTAAGTTTGTGAGTCAATTTGACCATTAATTAGTTTTGCCAAAAATGATAGGTTTGTTAGAACTCTCCTATCAGCCAGCGTGGTCAAGACTAGATGGCAAAGTACTGGATTGCTAATATTGTTGATAGGTTTTTATTCCAAATCTATTTTGCAGTGCTACTTACTAACTACATACCCATCTGTTCACGGGACACATTGTATAATATTATCAAATTGTGTGCGTGGACATACCTACATTTGTCTATAGAAAGGGCTCAGCCCGTTTACTCAAAATAAATTAACAAATGAATATGTTAGGTATATGTTACAATCTCAAAATATCCATGACTTATTTTAAGAATATAATAAGTGCTTGCTCGTAAGGTTCTTTAAAAAATATTTTTGCCTTTAAGTTTGATTATAACATTATGTCATATCACTGTAATATATTAAGACTAACGGTACAAAACTTGATCTACTGTACTCACAATTGCATGTTGCTCATTGTGCACAGAGAGAGAGGACAAATGGTGCACTGACATATTTTTAACAAAAGTTTTAATTTTTAGGTAATACAATTTTGCTGATCCAGAATCCAATTTTAATAACTCAGAAGGCCACAACATAATATTGAAATTGCGGGCATCCTATTATAGTTTCTATAATATCTGTTCACAAATGTAAGGGATACATAGCCACAATTTTTCTTGAGCATTTAAAGTTCACGCTTCAACAAAATTCATCAACAACTTGCATTTTTTTTTTTAGTTAAAATGTATGAAGTGTTCAATTGGTAAATTTAGCTTATGCTTATAGTAAAAATTGATAAAAATTGAATATAAATATGTAAATTATTGGTTTACAGGTCGTCATATCCCCGTTCTCACTTGCAACGAGGAAAGACAAACTTCTTTGCAAAAAGAGTATGCAATTACCAAAAAGCTTCAGTGGCTGTTATTAAATTTCTTCAACTATCAACAATGGACATAACTGATGAAGACTTTTAAATTAGGTACATTCTGATAGGTACCTATTTCGTTTAATATGTGTACTTATTTTACCTATGTTTGCCCCCCATCACCCATCAGAGAGTAATTTTAGTTACTTTATTTAACCAAAAGAAAACTATACCTACACACTGTGGAGTTATGTTTGTGAATTAAATCATTTTGTCAATGACTAATTTAAGAAAACTTTATTTTTAAATTTTATAATAAAAAAGAAAAGTAGGTACTTATTTAAAACCATTATAAACTATACCATCATACTTTTCATATTTGTCGTATGCATAGTTTATAATATGTATTTTAAAATTTAGAAATATATGATTAATATAGTAGTGTGTTGTAAATTATTGATATACCTGCAGCAGTTATTTGTACATACTAAATAAGAAATTATTACTAAGTACGAACAAATATAAATCATAATATAATATAAGTTATAAGTATAACTGTAGTTGTACAAAACAATTAAAACATTTTGTTCTTCATGTCTATGGACTTCAAACTAATTTTTTGTTGTTATCCTGGCGCTTTTGGAGACTAGGTAGGTACTGTTAATTTCGACATCCCCTATGCACCTACTAGATTCACTTGCCACCGGAAAAGATGAAAAGCGAAGCCATGGACGTAAATAGGGTCCTCAAATGCATAGGGCTTGAGCCCAAAAAATTTAAAGAACAAAAATATTGGGAAATTTGTCTTTTGCCCACTATTTACCTACACACAATTGTATCTATGATGCTGATACAATTCAAAACTATCACAAATTAAATGTAATTTAATTTTTTTAATTATTGTAAAAAATTAAAGAGTTTTATACAGTCATAATATACCTATATATTACATATTATAATATTATACATAATTAATATCATTATAATTGCATCCTTCTTTCCTTCTCGGAAAACTTGTTTAAAATTTGTTCATTATCAATTTGGTTTGATAACTCTCTTTCTATGTTTATAATACTTAAATCGGTAAATCTATCTTGTTCCATGTTGGACCTTAGATAAGTATTTATTCTTCTCATAGAGGAAAAAGATCTTTCACATGTTGCCGAGCTTATAGGTATAGCTAATGCAACATGCATCAACTTATATATATTTGGATATGTATCATATGAAATAACAGACTTAAGTTGCTCATTATGTTTTTTACTGTTGTTAACTTTTTGATTTTCATAAACTTTTTTTGCGACTTTTAATTCACACTTCAGATCATCTTCTTCAATTTTTAATAAGATCTGTAATATTATAATATAAATATTCAATAATTTGATTGAAACATTAACAAATAAAAATACAAACTTTAGTTAAATTACTGACCTTGTAGTGGTTTACAAAATAAGAATCCTTATCATATTGTAAATCTAAAAATGTATCAATTGACTTGGCCATTTTTAAACTTTCCACAGAGAATCTAGTTTTCATATCATTTATTATAGCATCAATAACAGGAAAATAAGCATGAGACATCCAATAATCTTTGGCTGTTTCGATTAAATTTAGATTATCTTCAGCACCTGTTGTAGTTGATAAACAATAATCTCTTAATAAGTCTGGTTCTTTTCTTTTTCTTTTTAAATCTGAAAAATGGTGTTACAATTTTAATAAAATCCTTTAGCAGTTTAATAGGCAAATAAATTTTACTATACTTTTATTTGGCAATTCTAATTTTATGTTTTGCTTGTCTGAAAATTCTTCAATTAATTGCCATAAGTCTGAGAAACATTCAGAATTTCTGTTTTCTTCAAATGTTCCTATAACACCTACAATAGTACTTGCAGCATGGCCTAATGTTTCCATTTTATTTTGCAGCTTATTACTTAAAACATTTATTATACCCAATGCGAAGTGCATAACATGTAAATTTACCACAAATTCTGTTTTTTGAATAGTAGCTAAAATACCTATGAGTTATGACAATAGAATGTTTAAAAATAGTAATTATGTATGTATTTCAAACTAATTTACCAATAGCTCTAGAAACATCTCCATCATTGTCCTCCTCAACTTCATGTTCTAAAACTTCAACAATTGAACTAAAACTTTCAATAACTGCTTTGCAGTTTTTATGTCTGCATACCCAACGAGTATCGCTAATAGCTGATAAAGTTAACTTATTCATTTTTAATTTTTTTTGCACATCTTGCAGTTTTTTGTTTTTTTTTGGAGTGGAAAAATGAACATAAATAGCCTCTAATGTATTAAATACAGTTTTGGAGTACTAGGAAATAAATGGAAAAAATTTAAACTTAGAATCTAAAAAGTAAACATGTTACATCTAATACAATTATTATGATAAATTGGTTAACTTAATTTTAACTTTAATTAAATAATATCCAAAACTTGAAAAATATTAGGTACCCAAATTATTTTTTCACTATTAAGAAACAAATTAAATTGTATTGTACCTTTACATGTTTGCACATATCAATAACAACGAGGTTTAATCTGTGTGCCATGCAATGAATGTAAATGGCATCAGGATAATGTTCTCTTAATAAAGTCTGTACTCCTTTTTTGGAACCAGACATAACATTTGCACCATCATAAGATTGGGCAATAATTGGAATATCATCAATCTTTAGTACTTTTAAGTATAATAACATAGCAGTTACAAGAGAAACAGCATTTTGACTTTCAGATACATTAATAAAACCTAGAAACCGTTCAAATACTTCAAATTTGTTTGCATATCTAATGCAAAGTGACATCTGCTCCTGTTTATGGCACCTAAAAAAATAAAAACTTAAGTAAAAACTTAAAATGTGACTATGTAGCTAAACATTTATAAGCAATTATAACACAAGTATTTTTTTTAATTATATTTTTATTCACCTAGCTTCATCACACATAACTGAAAAACTACCAGCATTTTTAACTTCTGTTACAATCATACTGCGAACATTTTCTGCACATATTCCAATCAGTTCATTCTGAAGCAAAGGACTTGTATAGTTTATTTCTCCATTAAATACTTGTTTAAATTGTGGATTATGTTCACACATCAATTTACACGCTTCTAAATAATTTCCTAAAATGTAAAAAATAATAATCACTCCCTTCACTTATATTAAATTTAAGGTCATAACAAAATATATAAATAATAAATATAAATATTATATATTAATTAAAATAATTTTACACCTCTGTTTAGGGAATCCTTGTTTTCAATATTTCCTCGGAAGGCAATACCTTGCCGTCCCAAATATAACAAAATATCTATAAGTGTTTTTAAGTAAGATCTGTTCTTTAGGACAAAATCTTTGTGAGCATTAGATACTTGACACAGAATATTACCAGTTATCTTACTAGAATTATGTCCATCCATTTTAGCTAAATTAATTAAATGTGTTTGTGTGGCTGCATGTGCATTGAGCTTGGAGTGTTTTGAAAATTTTGTCCCCAACTATAGTATACAAACAAAGCATAACTATAGTACTCAATACCTTCTCATTCTATTCTATTTTATTAAATACAAAAATTTATATTTACTCTTATCCAATTTGTAAAACCACTTTTGGTAAAAACATGATCAGTAGAACTGCATCCAAATATTCGACAACAAAAGCAAAAAACAGCATTTCTTTCTATACTATACTCAATCCACTTGAACTCATTATAGTATTTGGCATTAAATGATCTATTTTGTCTACCAAAAACTGTCATGGGATATGCCTGAAAATACATTTTTGTAAAAAAACAATGAATTGGTTTGCTTTTATTTATTAAGAGTTTTTACAATCTATATAGTACTAGTGTTGGGTTAGTTACCTTTAACCTTTAAAAAGTAATAAAGTTACCTACTTTACTATAGCAGTATAGACGTATAGTACTCTTACATAAATATAATTAAATTATTTTACTTTTTTAATTAAAAAATAACTTACTGGTAAAATTGGTTGTGCAGGGCCTGTGCTTAAATCTCCTAAATCCTTAACAATGTTGGCCTGAGTATCTGAATGCTTCAAATAATAATTTAGAATATTTGAAGTATCATTTAGCTCATCAGTGTTATTTTGTGAAATATTAAATGAATTTGGATCATCTGGATCAGAATCATTTGCATTTATCAAAACATTTAAATTGGATTTGGTTATGACCTGTTCAAAATATTAATATAATATGTATGAATAAAATTAATTGTATTCATAAAATAAATAGCTTTTATTTTTTAGATAGTTACCTGTTGAGAGGAACTAGTTGTGTTTATTGAGATGTTCTTCTGTGTATCATCTTCAGACGTTTTAGATTTTTTTATATTAAAAATGCCAAACATATTTATCACCAAAAGTCCAAAAGACAAACCGTTTAGCAGTTAAATGAATACAAATGCAGCGAATTTAATTTATAAAATACAATTTGATTAATATACAATTATCGTTAGTCAAATAGTCAATACTCAATTGTCAGACGTCAGTCCGTCTCAGTGACAGTTGCAGTATGCGGTATGCCTACTGCAGTACTGCCTGAACTAATAAACTATTAAGCATTAACCAATAACCAGTTTAAATAATAATAAAGGAAAATCTATTTATAGGTCGAAAGATACCACTATCAAAACATTGGTAAACATTGCCGTTTAGGCATAGAGCGGACGGGGTGGGACGTGGCTTCAAAAATATATTATAGTCGGCTACACAGATAATATGTATAATAAACATTTATTATACATATCTATGGTCGGCTATCTAATTGTTCTATAATATGTCCATGGTTATAATTTATAATCATAGATAATCCACATAATATTATATTCCAGACATTATTACTTATTACGTTATCACTTATCGGTGATATTTATAATTATATTTATTATTATATTTATAACTATTACCATTGGTTATAAATTATAATGTATATAATTAATATCATAAATATAGATTTTAAATTATATTAAAGATAACCTAAATGGCTAAATATTAAAATATTTTAGGGAGGGCTTGAGATGGCTCAGGGAGGGCTAAGCCCTCCTAAGCCCCCCCCTATTTACGTCCATGAGCGAAGCATTCATTCGACTACTTATCGTGTACACAGACCCAAATAATAAATTTTATTACGCAGAACGTAATTTTGCTAATTGTTTCAATATAGGTCGATTCACTCTAACTTTTGAACTGACGATGCTAAATGTGAACTGCTGATCGTAAATTTGCTATATAAGACGGAGACAATAAAATGCCCGTGTTACGTCTTAAATCGTGGTTCGTGGAGCTGAATCGTTTACGAAATTTCGGACTTGGGTAAAATGTATATTAAAAATAATATTATTATTTTTATTATAGAAATTTTTTATTTTTATTTTATTACAGAATAACTGTGGCAGTCGTGCACTTCGATGATGGGTACTTTCAATTAATTTTAGTGAACTAATTAATGTGATTCAGCTCATTAAAATGAATCGATTCACTGAATCAATTCAATGATTCTTTGATTGAATGGATTGAATGAATTCTATGAATCATAACAATCACAACAAAATAACTAAAATATTTATTCTAGTTTTTTTATGTAATTTCATTACAATTTGAACTTAAAATGACTATAAAAAGAAACTGTACTTATGTATTTTATAGATTTTTTGTTAACAGAATAAACTACTTACGTGGAATCTTGTTTTAAATTTTCCATCCTTAGATATAAAAGTTTTAGCATTAAACATTTTATAAATTTTTAACTACAATATAATTATTCGATTTTAAATTTGATACATTTTGTCAAAATTCCATCTTTAAATGTTTATAAAAAAAAATTGTGCCTATGTATTTTTAATTTTTTTTCAACTGATATTGTAACAATATATCAGGAGCCTTGTATTACATTTTATGACTCTTTTTGAGCTGTTTACGGACATTGTCAGTTTTCAATTTTTTAGTTTTTTTTTTCTATAAATATCAATTAAATTTTATTTTTTTTTTTGTAAAAATGGGTGAAAATTTAATGCAAGTCTCCTAATATGACACAAGCACAGTTTATTTTTATATTCATTTTATGTTAAAATTTTTACGAAATTACATATTAAAATCAATATTTATGATTTTAGTTTTTTGTTGTTATTTAAAAATATTATTCGGTGATATATGAAACTGAAAAATCAAAAAATCAAAATATTACGGCCTATCCATACAATCTACCCTAGTATAATGAAAAGAAGTATGCTCTATGATAAGACTGTGTATGTATAATTTTGTCAAAATTCCATCTTTAAATGCTTATAAAAAAAAATGGTTTAGTTTTTTTTTCTATAAATATCAATAAAGTTTTATCTGTTGGGCCAAAAAGTATAAAAATTTAATACAAGGCTCCTGATATATTGTTACAATATCAATTGAAAAATATTAAAAATACATAAACACAATTTTTTTTTATAGGGATTTAAATATAGAATTTTGACAAAATTTATCAAATTTAAAATCGAATAATTATATTGTAGTTAAAAATTTATAAAATGTTTAATGTTAAAACTTTTATATCTAAGGATGGAAAATTTAAAACAAGATTCCATGCATAAGTAGTTAATTCTGTTACCATAAAATCTAAAAAATACACAAGCACAGTTTATTTTTATATTCCTTTTAAGTTCAAATTTGGACGAAATTACATATTAAAATTAATATTTAAGTTTTTAGTTTTTTGTTGTAATTTAAAAATATTATTCGGGGATATATGAAACTGAAAAATCAAAAAAATCAAATTATTATAGCCTATCCATACAATCTACCATAGTATAATGAATAAGAAGTATGCTCTATGATAAGACTGTGTATATTTTTTTTATTACCATTGATATGTATATAATACGTCTTAAACATAGACTGACACACCTTCTCCGCTCAGAATCGTTTTTCCCATACAATGATATTATATCATTGAATTCAAATTTAATACCATCCATTAAACAGTGACCCACTTGTAACCTACTGTACGGCAGAGCACTTTTTTTTATATTATTTTTTAGAATTTTTGTTGCATTTTTTGAACAAATAGTAATTTTTCATGTATTTCATAACAATTAAGTATGGACAACTTTTTATAAAATTTTACCATAAGCTACACTACTAAAAGATAAAAAGAAAGTAAGTGCTATTTATTTTTATATCATTTGTTTACTAATGTTTTTACCTATGTACCTATGATAAAAGCGGTGGCGGTTGCACAACGGTCTGCCTAAGGATATTGTTGTCACCTTGTAATATATGAGTCACATTTATAGATTGATAGATTTATTTGCAACTCAATCTCAATAAAACTAAATTATGAACTTTGAAATAATACAAATAGATTTTTGTTTAATCATTATTATTTAACATTATATATTAAAAACAATTTCTCAGGGCATTATTTAAAGTTTGGTAATATAATTTAATAGAATATTTATATTTTTTCGAAAATTGATCGTCATTCCACGCCGTTAAAAATAGTTATAATTGCACTCATATCTTATATTGTACAATATGGGACGTAGGTATAATTTACCACAGCGTTCCGACGTTTTATAATTGGTATATCTGGGGCTCTGGTTAATTTGAAGCAAAATTGACAGAAAATAATATATACAAGTATAGTATTTAGATTTTTATAAAGTGTCTGTGAGTATAAAATAATTACTTTAGCTTTGTTTTTTTATTTATAATTCTGAATGAAACGATGAATGTATTGATTTTAGTGATTTTAGTGATTTTACAATGATGTGTGTTTTTTTTTTTATTTTTATTTTTTTATTTTTGTGTCTGTCATCACGTTTTAGGACAGTATCTTTTCTGATAGGAAAGTGAATCTAGTTGGTACTTTGGGGGGTGAAAAGTAAAAATTTCCCAGTAGTTTTCACAAGCACCAGGAAAAACAACATAAAAATATTAAGGAAAAACTGGAATTTTTACTCAAAATCGGTTTTCCAAAAAATCGATTTTGATTTTTGGTGTAACTCTAAAAGGAATGAACGTATATACATAATGACATTTTCATCGGTTGATTATATTTGCATTTTGTATACACGATAACATTTTAAAATATTTTGATTTATTTTGAACTTTTTAGGGACATTTTCATTTTCCATTTTTTTTTTAGATTTTTTTCTAAAAATATCAATACAATTCTATTTGTTGGTTAAAAAAGCTTGAAAATTTAATAGGAAGCTCCAAGTATATTTTTTCAAAGGCAAATGAAAAATATTAAAAATTCTTTGTCACAGTTTTTTTTATAAGCATTTAAAGTTTAAAAATCGCAAAAATTAGCAAATTATTTTGAGTTAAGAATTCATAAAACTTTTTCTTTTTAACTCTTAGATTTTAAAATGTAAGACAAGATTCCTTATAAGATTATCTACCATTATCAACGAAAAAAATTTCAATAAGAAAGTCAAATTTAATTTTTATGAGCGTTTGAAATTCAAATTTTTACAACATAGGATATTAGGATATAGGATATTCACTCGATTTCTCATGTAGCGATTTCTTTATTTTGTTTTAATTCAAAAACGAATAACCGTAGATACATGAAAATTTCACTGAATATTTATATTAGAATTTCCTATACACCAAACACTTTTGAAAAAAATATTTTGACTCTTTTTGATTTTTTAGTTTTCAATATGTATAAGTTTTATCTGTTGGGCCAAAAAGTATAAAAATTTAATACAAGGCTCCTGATATATTGTTACAATATCAATCGAAAAATATTAAAAATACATATCGTCGTTGGGCGAGTAACATGTCGTATCTCAAGAAAAATCGATTTTGCGATTTATACATAAAAAAAAGCGGGAAAAAATAACACATGATTTGATAATTATATTAATATTAATAATAATAATTTCCAAGGAGATTGAAGACTTAATTGTAATTTTGACGTAACTTGATTACATGTTATCAGTGTTCACGTTTTTGTCTCTCCTGAACATTTTACTTTTTTGAGATACGACATGTTACTCGCCCAACGAGTATGTTATATTATGCACAATTTTTTTTATAGGGATTTAAATATCGAATTTTGAATAATTATTTTGTAGTTAAAAATTTATAAAATGTTTAATGTTAATTCAAAAGTAAAAATTTCCCAGTAGTTTTCACAAGCACCAGGATAAACAACATAAAAATTAAGGAAAAACTGGAATTTTTACTCAAAATCGGTTTTCCAAAAAATCGATTTTGATTTTTGGTGCAACTCTAAAAGGAATGAACGTATATACATAATGAAATTTTCATCGGTTGTTTATATTTGCATTTTGTATACACGATAACATTTTAAAATATTTTGATTTATTTTGAATTGTTTAATGAC